AGTTTACCCCCATGGATGGGGTTATTTTGAAGCGCACCCCACTAACTCTGTTTCATGATCTTCCCTCCTTGCTCATTGGGCGAGCTTATGTCTGGCTGGCACATTCTGGTGTGAGTGTAAGGATCACATGAAAGAAACGTGTAATCACATTATATTACCGCAAAGACTATTTTTACCTGGACCAATTGTGAGAGTGGTGATACGATCACAATTTTTGATACTGAATAGTGGCTACAGCGACTATTCTCAACAGATGCCTTTCAAATCCCGATCATTGATAGCATTTCTCCATTTCATTTCATTTATAATTTAGATCTTTTCGCTTTTCAGCTTCGAAATTCCTCGGGACTTTTATTCAGTACGTTGATGGAACGACTGTTTGGAGTAAATCGATCACGCGAAGTGACTAGTCGCAAAAACTGGTAAGCGATATGTACGTGCCTTGAAAACCTTGATCATTGAACGGTCGATTGATCGTCTGGATAATACTTCTGTAATGGTATCATTTTCGGGTTTTTCGCGCGGCCTCAGTTATTCAAGATATAAATTTGGTGTTTCGACTGTATCCGATTATTGAGTAATTTATCCACTTGGGAGAAACGGTTAACGTTGACTTCGATTGAGCTGAATGAATTGACCCCGGTTTCTTTATCGATGTACGTAGAACTCGTCCAAAAACACGATCTATTAGACCAGTGTCCGTCATGCACGTCCTTACGGAGGTACCAAAGTTAACTTTTCGCACCTTGGTGCGGTTTCATTCCAATTAGTTTTATGTTGAAAATGGGGTCAGTGTTTTTTAGTATAACGGAAATCTCACTGTTCTCCCCTTTTGTAACAATTGGTTCAGGTGTGCCGCTGTGATTCATCGTCATTCGAGAACGTATGCTTAACCGTAGTCATTGAACTGGGTCCTGACTACTGTCTTCGAGCACTACGAGACTTCTTTTTTGTTGTCCTCACGTAGAGCATTCTATTCCGTTTCTATGTTGCCCGGACTCCGGTTTCGTTTGGCCGCCTACTTCATCTGGTCTAATTTATACACTCCCCCGTTCTTCAGCCTTTCTTCCGCCAACTTCTTCAGACGTTATCCAAATCTCAAAGGTCACATGGTTCGAACGCTCCATCAAACCACATCCGATTTGAAGTAAGTCTTTGCCGAACCCTCCAACGACTATCGTTCACCGCACTTTGATTTTTAGCGATATTCAGAACTCACTCATGTTTATTGTTCTCACGGTAGCGTCGCTTTCCCTTTAGTCATGCCCGATCCGAATTCTTCCGCAACTGAAACTATGAGCACACGACCAATTATTGCACTAGCCCCAATGCCGTCAGCATTTTACAAGTATACCTTACTTTCACCTATACACTTTCATGTTTTGTAAATTGCCTTAGGGATATCAATCCGTGGTTATTTAGCCTTCGCTGACGATGCGTTTAGCCTTGTTGTCAAAGTATGCAAAGAAATGTCATAGTAATCGGTCAAGTCAGGTCAAGAAACGCTTTATGCACTCAAAGGATGAATTTTCAGCAATTGACGATTTTTACAATGGATACATAAAACCGATTGCAAACAAACAAGACAATATAAAAAATTCTACACGTTACTAAATGATAGAGAAATTGGTGCAAGAGTTTTTCACTGAGGTCGGTGAGAATAGTCTGACGGTTAATCAATAACCGAGCAATTTATGGCATCACACTCTTTCTATATGTGATAGCATGCGCAGGAAGGAGTTGATATTTGGAGTGAGCTCGTGGATTCAAATTCAAATTTTTATTATGGGAAAAAACTTACAAAGACTTCGCTTATCAAATCCCATAGGGTGTTTACACTTTGGTTCGGAACACGATTCACAAGATCACAGTTAGTTCATGAAAGTAAAATAGTAATGTAATGTTTTTGACGAGCACAGGAGAATATATTATGTAGTTGGGTGTTAAAACACAATGTTTGCCAGAGCATCATCAAGCTTGAAAGATACTAATGTTGGCGCACAGACCACGTAAGGTGGTAGAGAGTTCCATGTGCTCCACACTCTGACTGCAAACGAATGGCGTCTGCAGTCGAGACGTCTCTTTTGGGGTGCCAACTTTAGCCCTCTGAGATGAACATTGGTTGATAGAACCAAAAGAAACCTAGATGTATGGTTGGGCAGTGGGAAAATCCGATACAGTAAGATCATATCGCCTGATTTGCCAATATTGAGACGAGTATAGCCTCAGTAGCTGTAATCTTTCACCATAGGTCTTGGAATATAGACCTTTGGCCATCTTGGTAGCCATTCTCTGCGGATGTTCAAGTGCCTTCCGATCTCGCTGCAGCCATGAGTTCTAGGCCTGAATTGAGTACTCGGTTTATGGACGGATATATGTGGCTAACAGACGTGGAAACGAAGCCTGCTCAAAGGATCCAAAAATACGTTGGAGCAATCCAACCTGTTTTACCGCCAGTTTGTGGAGCAACTCAAGTCTGTGCGAATGACTACTCGCAGATCCCTCTCGGATGGAGCATAAGGCAGAGTGTCGTGTCCTAGAGTGTAGGAAAACAACCATTGTGACGTAGTGATAAGACTTTACATTTGGTAACATTGCATTCCATATCATTGGAAACAGACCATCTGTGGGCTTCGTCAAAGGCGTTCTGGAGGTCAAATGAATCTTCTGGTTTTGTTATTGTCCTCCATATTTTGGCATCGTCTGCAAACAACGGAGTTTGTTGGTCCGAAGGACGTCTGGAAAATCATTTATCAAGACAAGGAAAAGACGTGGGCCTAGCACAGATTTCTGTGAAACCCCACGGTTGACATATATTGGATCAGAAAGTGAATCAGAAATACGAACTGACATGGTGCGAAGGCGAAGAAACTCCTCGATCCGGCCAAGTACGAGTTCACGGATTCCATAATTATACAGCTTCCGTATTAGTATTTGATGATTTACCCTACCAAATGATTTAGAGAAGTTCAGGTAAATAACATCCAAGCCCTTTCTTTGATCTACAACATAAGTCCAATCGTCCCGAGCTAAAATCAAGTTAGTTGCCCATCAACGATTCTTTCGAAACCCGTGCTGGACTGGAGACAGTAAGCAATTTTTCTCCAGATGATCCATTACAGAATCTGCAACAATGGATTCCATGACTTCGGACAACAATGGTAGGAGAATGAGTGAGAAAGTGACTGGGTCACTACGGCACCCATCTTTGTAAATTGGTGAAATGACACCGTTTTTCCACACCTGAGGAAGCACGGTATCTATAAACAGTTTTTGGTATAGCCCGCTTAAATATCGGCTATGTGACTTGCCAGGGTGATAAGTGCTTGTGGATGAATGTTATCTAAACCCAATGATGAGTTCTTCTTCTACGCCAGGAGCTTTTCTGTATCCTTTCGAGAGAAAAGAAAATGTCTGTCAGTAATAGGTAAGAAATATGATCCAGCAAACAGGAAAGTACGAACCCAGAGTTACTAGGTGCATTGACCACTTGAGAGTTTACATGCGTTTATATGCTTATATAATAGCTTAGGGTTTGCGATGAACTCCCTCGCCAGTGTATTATGATAATTGTGCTTGTCTTCTCGCACAATATTTGTACAATGGTCTCGAAGGAGCCTGTAAACTTCCATGCGCTGGGGCGTGAACAGCATTTGAATTCCCTCCAGTGAAAGTCCTTTTGCATTATCCATTTCCTAGTTCGGCTGCGAATTGCTGTTTTTCGAACAGTCGGTCGGCATAGACGCTTGACAGTTGTAACATCAGCCACCAATGTTGTGATGATGTTAGTAAATTATATCCAGGATTCCAGGGGGTTGCAGCTTATATCAGAGGAGGTCCACTGGCTTCCATGAGCCAGGGTGCTTGGTGCTGCATAGTCGGTTATGCTGCGAAAGCGATCCGAAGAAGCTGTTATTACTGATGTATAGCAAACGTAAACCATAAGCGCTCAACTTTGATCATCAGCAGAGTTGATGGGTGTAAGCATCTATTCATGACTTAACTTCCGTCTCCTTTACACCGTGATCACTGTTCAGACAAGTGCTTCGTTAGCCCACTTCGTCTCGTCACATAACGAGCACGAGCGTTCCGTTAGCACTCACGCACTATATGACTATTTTGTCATCAATGACTCACANTTAGTCACAGATTAATACGGCCATTATCTGAGTGACTCGTTTTGTACCCTGGGGTTCACACCCATTCTTGTTTCAAACATTTGATGTGCTAATCATTTGAAAAAAATCAATTGCTGATAGGCATTTATTCCCCCCCCCTTGTTTTCAAATGAAATGAACTATTATTTAAGTTATCATTACTAGCTCATCTTTTTGCTATTTGTATGGTAGTTTAACAATCTGTGTAGGTGAAGTAGTAACTGTCACGAAATTCATTCTTACTTAAACTACTTCCAGTTTTGTATTCTATAATACATATTTCTGTTGACAAAATATTGATCGGTTCTTGTAGCTCGGGTGAACTGAATTCCATTTCACGAAATGGAACATATTTCTGTTATTCATCAGTTCAGTCATCATGAAAATCAAATGTATTCTTAAATAATCAATAAAATGACGTTAGTGATAAATTTTATCATGTAAACAGGTTTCTTTCACTTAAGATTGTTTGCATCACTAACGTTTATGGACTCTCGTTTTTTATCTTTTACTTTCCATCCTATGCCGGGTTTCGCGTGTTTCAGACTCACCTGGAGCACCACCAAGTGCGTCGGCTCATCTGCTGTTCCGTGGGTTCAGTTACGTGGCACCGAGTTTTTTCAACGATAGCAATAGCGCAACATCCACACAAAAATCGAATAATGCTGTCGATGGAACAGCCAAAGAGTCACGAGAGACGAATGGACAAAAAAGTGTCAAACCTGTCATGAAGATGGATGCGGAAACAGGTTAGTTTTATTTCGGCCTTCTTCCACTCATTCACTTATGCTCTGTGTATGTTAAGAAACTTGGTTGTCTTCCTAACGGAAATAGCGTCCTGCTTCCCTGGGTCGTTTGTTTTTTGAAGCTTCTTTTAAGTGTACTAGCGTCCTTTTCGTTATCTAAACATAATGGATTGTACTTTCCAATATTATTAACTCTGTTCAATGAATATGCTCTACGAGAGTCGGAACCTGTTACTAGAGAACGTGGAAAGTTATCATAAGATTACTAGTATTGGTGATTATCTAAAATATGAAAACCACAAACGTTTGCTTTTTTCATGCTCACAATTCCTGACTGTTCATTGTATGTCGGTGAGCGCTGTTACCGTGATTCTGATTGGAGGTCCGTTGAGGAGTTTAATTGTTCGATTCAGTGGACAACAGACCGTATTTTTCAGGCAGTGTAAGCAACCCATTTGATCACATGGTCTCAACATTGGAGCAGGTATGTTTTATTAGTTGTTATTTTATAACTAACCCTTAAAATCAGTGTTTGAACTGCTGTTACATCGCACCCTCCGGTAAAACTTCTGACGTACAGACGTTTGCTGATTTATTTGTTTCCGAACTTTATAACTACATGGGACGCTTCCTTTTGATCGTTAGGGGCAATTTAACCATATCGATGTTCATCTACCTCTTTCTTCACCATCTTGTAAAGTTCCGTACAAGAGGAAATGAGCAGCTTGACATTACGTTTTCAAATGATCCTGACCTGTTTGTTGTCTGAAGAAGAGCCCCTCTGGCGATCTCCGACCATTGTATCATAAATGTTTTACCAATAGTCTACTCAAAGAAACATCATTGTACACTGAAACGTACATCCAACTGGAAAACTTATCAAAGGCTATGCAAGCCGGCCCACTTGACATCACTAAGAGGAATGGTTTCTCGTATCAAGTTTGATCAGTTCTATGACCCAAGTGTCTCGGTCGGAAGTGAGCCCCTCACTGGCTATTTGAACTTTTGATTTGACTTATACTAGGACACGGCCTCCATATACACCATCCCCACCAAATTTGCTTCCCTCACTTTGTAGACCGTCAGACCGTCAAAGAACGGGCATTGTGACCGAGCTTTAGTAAACAAATGTCAATACTATCATAAATAAGATCCAAAATCCCGGTGGACTACAATGAAACCCTAATTGATGACCAGAATTGCAAGCAAATCTGGAGTGCTCTGAAAAACTATATGGGTCAAAGTCACACTAGGCGGTCATCAACCCACAGCAGGTGAACTAAATTGCATGTTTTATACTTCAACTCAAACGGAAGTGTCGGAATCCTATTCCTAATCACTTCACCGTCGTGACGTTTTGCATCTCAATTCCAGTCAGGCATGAGCACAGCTGATATGCCTCAAAACACNAAAAGCTCCCGGTAACTACGGATTTTGTATTGTCGTTCTCACGGGATGTGATTATTATCTGGCTGAGCCTCATGCCAGTGCTTTCATCTGGTGTTTCGAGAAACAAAACCTACCGACTGTTGGAGACTCGCGTGCATCACACCAAAAAGGAAGCCCAGATCCAATCCGTGGCACTTCCGTTTTACTAGCGACATTTGAAACGTCTATGATTATTAGCATTATTCCAACCACTGAGCAGTAGATAACAGACCAATCGCTTATTGCAAAGTTGTTTTTACCTTAGACACCCTTGCGCATTTGATAAATTCAGTTTTGCAATCCATAGACAACTGTGGTACGGCCTTTCGCCTGTGTTTTCTCGACTACAGTAATGCATTCAATGTAGTCGACAGGGAGAGGCTTTTATATTTACTCCGTGGTGCTGGATTGTTCGTTACTACCCTATCTCTACTACAAGATTATTTTCCTGGTAGAACACACTACACCAAATTTCTTGGAAGTGTAATTTGCACAAGAACCAAGTTTATCTTGACAGGAATTGCTTCAAAATTTAATGTGTAGTGCACTGGAATCCATATGATCGTGTAAAAAGAAGTTGGCATTCAATCATCCCAAAATAACTTAAAAATTGCGGTAAACCAACAATCAAAAGTAGCTGAACCGCTCAGACACTCCAATCAATAGTAAAATATTAATGATCCTGCTTCCCGATAGGTGGATATCCCACTATCATAATTCCTCAGTATCCGTTTTTATTCCTTTCAAATCTAACCCCTTATTTGGAAGAAAATACAAAGATTTTATTTTTCAGATGATGTTGCTGATGATTTTTTGAATGAGGAAAGACTCCGTTGATGAATACATGTTTGAATTACAGAGGTTGTATGAAACTTTGTGACAGAAAAGTGCGTGCGAATTCTCTCCTAAATAGAAAACACAAGGCAAAATAGAACCGCACATGGAAGATAAAAAATGACAAAGATTTAAACTTCGTAGATTTCCCTGATTATAAACATTGATATGGATATTTTTTAGTTTCTATTTTCTAATGAAGTGATCATGCAACAGCATTCCGAAACTGATTGGGAAGCGATAAACCCTCACCATGTTTCAAAGATGTTTTATCCTATTTTCTGAATGTTCTCCCCAATAACGAAAACGCACCCAACGATTGATTCCGATGATATGGCCGAGAGATAAAGCTTTGCAAATCAGAAATGATCGGTTACCACAAAAGTTGTTACTATAGATGCAATATCGTACGTCTAACGTTTTTACAGCCAGTGATGTAGAACGTTAGTTTCCTTGATGGAGATAGACCTCAATACTTATCATTATGAAGTGATGAGTGGATACCATGTATTCATTTTGCAATTCAAAGTACAAATGCCAAGTGCTTATGGGACATTCCGGTTTTCTAGATGGCAAGCATTCGCCTATCTTTTTATTTAACCGTCAATTCATGTTTGTTCATAACGTGTAGCTCTTCATTTGAACCTTTGAAATACTTTAGGCACATTCGACTTTATTAATCTTCAAATGAGGTTACCTGTAGTCTGTGTAGTTAAATTGGAACACATCGTTACATACCATATGCATTTTACGTGTTTTTAAGCTCTCCACCCTACCCCACCCCGCGATCTATACACCTATTTCCCCTTGCTTTTCGTCAAATTTTGTCCGGTTAGTCCGAGCGAATCCGGCCACCGGCCCTGCTGACTTACCTCCGCTGACCCCCACCACGGCACGCCAGCTTAGTCGACTAACTGGTCTGAACGGGGTGAAAACACGTCCATTGTCGACCGAATATCGGCTTTTGGAAGAAATTGGTCGTGGCTCGTACGCTGTGGTGCACAAGTGTATCCAACGCAGCACCAATACGGTATATTCGGTCAAGGTCAGTAAACCCCAGTCGGTAGGGGTAATACACAGGAGAAAAACAATTCTCGAGTGTTTTTCATGAAACAGGGAAATTAATTCTTGCCATGATTTAGTCCAACGCCCTCAAGGAACAGAGCGCCACACGTGTTTCCAAATAGCTTTTTTATTGCATAAAAACATGATGAATAATGAAGGGGTAAACCTCATCACCTTTTAAAAACAAATCGAAAATGTTAAGGAAGAGTGAAACTCTTGTTTAAAACAAGCTGGTTTATTTCGTGCTTGGCACCAGCAACGTTGAGTGGAAAGAAGTGTGCGGAGAGGTGTTTTATAATCAGGAGTTGATCACTGCAGTTCAACGGACATTTAGATCTATTTGATAAGGATAACTAAATGAGCGGGTTTTGCACCTAAATGAGAGTGACACCGGGATCAAATCGATAAGCGTGGAAAAGATAAGTGTATGGCGATCGTTTTTGAAAAGTCCATATCTCGATTACTGATTAGGAAGGAATGTGAACTAGTTTGATCCTGAAGTTATTAGCAGTTTATCGGATATTTTATGTAAATACAATCAGAAGAGGTCAACACCAGACATGTCAAGGTACATTTGGTAAAGAGACGGCGGAGGGTACCACTAGCGATTGGTGATACCTGTAATATCTAATCAATGCAACACAACGAATACTAGTAACTAGGCGAATCAGATGTCAAGCAAAAAATTCGAGTTTAGTGGACGCCAGCTAACTTGTTAGAACCACGTGCTCTTCTCAAAGCAAACAATGGAATTATAACGCTGCCAAAGGAACCTGTTTGATATGAATTCAGGGGATAGATGAAATTGTATTTTTTGTTGAACATGTAACTCCAGAATAAAATATCAAGATACGGACTGCTTTCAGTTTTGGTTGACTAAATTGTTGCCAGCCATCTTGATTGGTTGGTGGTTCCGATCAATTACCTGAGGTTGGCTATCCTTAGTCTGATTGATTGTCTTGACTCCCTGACATTGAGGTTCGCTTCTTCCCTTCCTTCAAAACAGATCCACTCCCTTTCCACTTCACCCATTCTCACTCCCATGCACTGTACTTCGCAGCCATCAGCACAGTTTTCTTCAATTATTTTACATGCGAGTAATGGAGGGTTTGGTTCGATTTCATAGAAGGAATTCGTCGCATAAAGAGCAATTGAAGCGTAAACTGCAATGTCAGGATGTACTGTACTGCCTTTTCGACCTGGTTGGGTCTTGTTAGCAGTGCGAATCCATCGACCCTGCTGGAAATCTAACCAGGGGTCTGACAGCCGGAACGCAAGCATGTTTCTTTGAAAATGAATGAATGAAAATTTCATCATTGGAAAACCTTTGTAGATCTGACGGATGTCTATCGTCTACCGGAATCATTAGCAATGCACATCTGTCGAATGCATAATCATTCGAAAAGCTTCTAAATGCTGGGGAAGAAATAAAATAGCTTCCTTGTATTTACTCCGCATAACAGACTATTACCTACAAACAAACTAGCTGTTTTTTTTCAAACCTCTCATCCAGGCTTTGAAATGGGTAATTAACTGATATGAGACAGTTGTTACGTATTATTTTCATGATGATTGATCGAATGGGTGGAGTGGCTAGTACCCGTTTACTATACAGTTTATGCTTGAAAACCGAAATATGTGGGTGCCCGCATGTCATATTCAGTCGTGATTGCTCACGTCCTTCCCAACCTTTGGAATCTTGAGGAACATTCAGGAGGGTAGAAAATGCCGGCATATACAAGCTAAGAAAAAAAATGGTGTGCCTCAATTTTAGACAACCCTGACGGCCGAATTGTTCACTATGGAAATTCTGTCAAGGAAACATGTTGAATGGTTGCATTGCAAACCGTTTCTCCTGCCCATTCAGCCCGTTGCTCGGGAAGTGCCTTTGGTCCAAGTCACCTGATTTAACACATGACAATTTGAACCAACCGGAGAACTAACCGGGAGTAACTGATTTGTTACAGTCTAGTTTGATATCAAACGGATTCACTTTGCCCGAAAAATTTATGCATTAGACAGAAAAGATAATGAAAATTTAAAGATAAACGGATTCGTATCAGAATGAGTTCTTTCGTTCTTCATTGGTGTTATATTTTTCTTCTGAAATCTACCGAGATATTTCATCCTGGTTACACCAGTCCATCGTAATAGGCTCCAGATATTTCTCATTTAGAGCAAATAATAAACAATCTACGAACTTCAAACTGCTCCATCTTGCTTATTTCTGATCCGGTGAAATAAAGAAGATCCGATTACTTGTGAGAGTTGCTTGTTTATCAATGAATGTCGTTTAGTGTGGGCTTAGACCAGTGTCCGTCAAACATCAGACAAAAGAAACATTCAGTTATAAGTTTTTCCAATTCATTTGATGAGCTTTACTAGGGGTGGGTAGGAATGGATTTCTCCCATCTGATTGACTCAGCTTTGGCTGCAAATTGTTACATCTTTGTGTATCACTTTCAGTAATTGTGTGCTTGCCAGTTGTTTTCACTCTTGCTCAGGGTACTGAAATGGACTTTCCAGTTTCATTTTTGGGTTTACATCATAGGGAAACGTGTATCTAAGATTGGTTTTGGTTTATTCCCTTACGCGTTAAATGTTGCATCACTCATTGTATATAAATAAGGTTAAATGTCTGATATCAACTATGGCAATGGTTATGTGCGGAAATCAATGTCACGACCATCCAAATTAGACTCAGTTATAGTTGACAGATGTGTAAAGCAGATGTGTGTAAAACAGGTATTTATTTTAGACAGAGAATAACTTGCGAATGTCTATATTTTAGTCAGTGCATAGGCTTACATGCGCATACTAAAAACCTTAAATAGCTAGCGGGTAAGCCAAAAATAATGAGTAAGGTAGAGTGAGATGTGGATCAGGCAGGTATTCGAACATGAGAAAATAATAAAGCAGTCGAAGAACGACAATAGTTAGGTAATCTCATGAAATAGTTAACTCCATGAAAGTACAATTAAATGGTTTGTCTGATAGAATCGTTTTCGGGACAATAAGCAACTCAGAAGATATGTTTGGGGTGCACAATTTTCCGACCAAATTGCTCAATCTTGCACACATGCACACACTGGGTTTACTTTTAATCCGTACACTCGTTTCAGCCTTACTCTGCGCAAATTGTGTCAATGTGTGCAACAAATCCAACAATACGGGCCCAGAAACAACTTGGGTTCGTGTCAGCCTTATCGTGTGATAAATCCTAATCTCACTCCTCTCTGTAGAACTACCCCCCACCTCCCACACACACTCCTATAACTAAAGCCGCTAATTCCCCAAATGTCCCCGCAATATTCCCCTTTCAACAATGTATTCTGATATTGCTCTTATCTTATTTATATTTTTATACCAGAGAATCATTTACACTATCATTGACAAATGTACCAAAACAGATGAAGAAAATGTGACAAGGGTTTAAATACTAATCAACAAATAAGAGTATAGCAACAGGTGCGCCCGTTGTCACCCGTTTCGGCCAGTGTCTCAAACTATAGGTGTTCGCTGTCATTAAGACCCCAATCTGGGAGTCTATAACGTCCTAACACCGCCAGGTTGGAGGTGTACGCCTTCATCGGTGAAACCTAGTTATTCGTTGTCCAGCTTGTAATCTCTTTTAGTTAGTGTCGGATTGCGCAAACATGACTCGATGGGGCAGTCGTTCAGCTAGCATCCACAACACATTTTCCGACCACCGAAGTCTCTGAAGTGAGTTGACGACACTCAGAAGACGATTGAGCTTGTCTGAGGCAAAGATTCTTTTGCGAACCTCATCGCTATTGCCAACGTATTCTCTAACTTTAGGAGCCCTTGAGTAAAATAGTGCGTGTTGTGGCATTACAACCATGGCTTTTCAAAGAGAGTATGACATTTCATCGGTGCCACAAGGGGCATAGTTTAGCGACAGTCATCCGGTCGTTGCGAATAAGAGCTGATATCTCTCCGATCAGTCCTCTTGAGTTGAAGCAACTATGAAGATAATCAAAAGGTAGAGCATTTCCAACTGATCACTCATGAGCGTGATGGAAAGTGTCCCCTCTTATGAGTCTTGCAGTAAGACCTTACATTTCTATGGAGAAAAGGTCATACCAAATTGCCTGACGGAAAACGCCAACTTACACCGAATTTTTGAGTGTCTTCGGAGGAGTCGCATGGTATAAAGATGCTATCTGCATATTCCTAATCACAGAGTCGATCACCCCGGAGAGGCTCCAAATCGAAAGCTCAGCAGTTTTCTAAAGCGCTGCTTAGGATTTTGTCCATCGGGAAATTAAAGAGAGGGGGGGGGGTGAAGCCGGGCACACTTATCGGACTCTGCTTGTGATCGTTAATTAAGGGAAGATGCGATCATATGCCTTGACGCCTGATGTTTTCGAGTAGCCGACTCTGAGAGGGTTTATGTTTTTCTCAGGCACACCGCTCCCTTACAGACAAGTCTAGGAAGCTGCTCTGTCAACTGAGTAAAACGTAGCACATATTTTCCGAAAGAAAACCATAGTGGAGCTACTTACCGTTGGACATTCCTCGAGAACCTGATGTAGTGTAAATATGTGATCAACGCAGTCCTGATGGGAGCGGAATCCAGCTTATTCTTCACTGATATGGCGTTGTCTCATTCAATTGGGCCTGGGAAGGCTCAACGATGTTAGCATCTTTGATGCAACGGAGATGAGAAGAATTCTTCGGTGATTGGAGCGACTGCGGTGAGGTCCCTCTTGGAAATAGGTAATATGTCCCCCAACTCCACTCGGGTGGAATGGACTAAGCATTCCAGGTGATTTCAAATAAAGCTCTCAGGCGAGACTTGCACCATCTTCATTGAAAATGTCCTGGGAGGCTCTTCTGGGCTGGGTAGTTGAAGGCGTTTCAGACGTTTGAGCTCTCGGGGAACTTCTTTCTCTGTAGGCGAACAAATGTTCACAGACCATGGAGCATCGTGTACACCAGGAGATGGAAGTGATGTCGTTGGCTCACTGAACTGTTGATAGAAGTGCTCCACCCAGCGCCCATGCCAACTTCGCAGATTGTGTATACATTCGCCATTAGTTTCTCGTATGGTTCCCCTGACTCATGGCTTTATTTTACCGGTGGCGTTACGAGTGGGAGCTCACTGGCTATCGCCCTTCAAGGAAGACATACTGCTTAGGTCAGTAGCTAACATGTTTTAGTAAGTGGTAAATACGTTTGCGTAGATCAGTTTCATCTTATCGAATCTTCTCGGGTGACGTTGCTGCTTTTCGTCAAAGCCCTGAGAGAATTTGGCGCACGTGAGCTCATGATCAGAGCTGTGACATGTGCTCCAGATGGATTTGCAATTCATTATGCAATTTATCCATCGATTGCTGATGGCAATATCATTTATTTGAGTCCGGGGCTGATCAGACGATGCAGGTCGCCAGGTGGCACGTTGGCTCCATGGTCGGTGAACATTGGTACTTGGAAGGGGAAGACCATGTTCAGCGCAGATTTGCCGGAAACGGTTGCCGTTTTCAGTTCCCCTAACACTGATCCGAATCTGGCCATCAAGTGAGGTTTCGTCAGGGTCTAACTTGCCTATTTTGTTGTTTAAGTCGCCGGATAATATCACAATGTCAGTGTGTCGTCAACTATGGAGGAGGTTGGTGAACTGATGGTAGAACTCGTCTTTATTTGTGTGGGGACTGCAGTCCGTGGACGTGTGGGCCGCGATAACGAACAGACAACGTTTCTTGGTCCCGCAATTAGACGTACTTATCAATCATTCTAGACGGATAGCGCAGATTCGACGATTGATTGGAATCCAGTTGAGTAACACGGCTTCGACACGTGAAGTCAGTGCCGTCCTCACCGCAGCACGACCAACAGTTTCTGCGATGGGATCTCCGGAGAGGTAGAGTGTTGACCAGCTTGTGGAATCCGGAGATATTGAGACGAGGTGCAGTACGGTGATCGAATTATGTAGGCTTTTTCCAATAAGGCAACAAACTTTCAGGACAAGCGCTTCCAATGTACGAGCGAGCTTTACTTAAGCCCTGCCTAGCAAAAGTGTTTAAACACTGAAAATAGCTAACTTCAGCTGCGACCAAAGCGCGAGCACTGTTTTCTGAACGGCCTGAGTGGATTGTTGTTTCTTCCACATGAACACAAGATTATGGCTTCTTACGTTGTCTTGGGCAACGCACAATTGAAGACCCAAAAGAGTAAGTGGTAAACCAAGAATAGAAAAGTTCAACAGTTGTGAAAGTAAAATAATTTGATCTGTTCGTGTGGTAAGGTGAAAATTTGTGGAGCCGATCGTAAAAACCTCGGTTAAAGAGCGCATACGTTGTGAGAGAAAAGCTCGAAAATCTGAAGTGTTTGACTGGAAATCCACACCTGCAAGAGAGCAGGCGGAGTTCAGAGTTCATAACCCATAAGTTACCGGTGTCCAGTTCATTGGGTCATACTCCCTTCGCCCGGGGTGAAACGTCCAAGGTGCACAATACACCTAGATGCTCAATCGAGCCGAGGACCACTACCACAACCATAAAGGTGCGCAAGGATCATACAACTCTTCTTTGTTTACTTAAAATCAGGGTTTTGAGCCAATTTCCCTAGGTGACCTGCGAGTGGTTCACCAGCCCGATTATAGCCTGGAATATGGGATTTTAGTCCTAACACTTTGATGGGAAAACATCAACCACGGGCAGGCAGTGAGTGAGGATTCCTCAGTAGAGACTGTTCCAGACGCTTGATCATAGAGGAGCATTTCGTGAGGTGCAAGGGTAAGATGACCAGCTAAAACCGACGACACCCACCCACGACCGTACTGAGGCTTTCGGAGATATGCACTACTCTTGTAAACAGCATCCACGAATAATGGTTTTCTTCCAGTATTTGCGACTTGTGTCGAGAGGAGTTTGATTTTATGTTTTTGCTTAAAGATTATGTTGACTAAAACGGAATTAGATTTCCTTATAAATGCTTTCGTTCTTCCACTCTGTATTCTTTGGGATTTCGAGGAGCCAAAAGTAAGTTATAATACACGTAGGATATTAGCCAATCGTTCATTCATTCAGTCAGTCAGCCACTCACTCGCTCGTGGGTTCGGTTCAGAAAATGTCAGTTCCTAGTAACTTCTGTACTTTTATTCAAATGTGATTACCAGCTTACCAAAGTTCAGATATCTATTACCAATTGTTTAATTACTTTTTCAGATTATTGACAAAGCAAAACGTGACGTACGCGAGGAAGTGGAAATCCTATTGCGGTTACACAGTCATCCCAATATTGTCACCCTGAGGGATGTAAGTCATAGGATAATTGAACTCCAGAGTAATGCCATCTATAACTGTTTATTGTTTCATTACCTTTCATTCCGTTTTCAGATGCCATTTGACATTTTACTCAGATCTGAGTGGATCCCTCCGCTATCTGAATAACTTGAGATGTTTTGTTTTGTTTTCGCACAGATGAGTTCGCCTCAGTTGCAGCTACTTTCCAAATCTTGCTAGCAGTTCCATTCAGTAGGGAAAGACAGAAGCTAAGCCTTTGAAATGTGTGCACAGAACAAAATGATTGTTGCGAAATTCCAAATTATTATTTCTTTACTAATAGAAACCTCCCCTCCTTCGACGGGAATTTTGAGTGGCGATTGAGATAATAATTTAGGAAGCGAGGTTTACTTTCCAACAATTTACAATGTCCACGAGTGATTAGTTTAAAACTTATAATTTGATCATGCACTTCCACTTAGCTCTGCCCCGTTTCTCTTACTGTTCAGGAAAGAGGAATGATCTCAGACTATTTACAGATGTTGACCAAAATCGTGCAATATCACACTAATTTTGGAAATCCATTTCAGTTTGCAATGTCAAACTTATATATTGATGACCACGGATCAACTGTTTTTACTTCTGATTCCAACTCCCACTTCCATGTTCTTAGTTCTCTTCTATCACCGTTTGAATTTACGCGATCTTTTGTGTCGCGATAAAATTTGTAGCAGTTTGAAAGTTAAAACTCAAATTGGCCATATTTTATGCAAACCATCATGGAAGTGCATTCTCATGAATTTCATCAATCATTCATGTTTCACTGGAGTGATTTTAAGCTGAACACACGTATTCCAAAATGCATATCTCTTTTCATTCAGTGCACAGTAAATAAGCCAATTGATGAGAAACACTCTACCTCAAATGAATTGATAAATTATTTGGGTACGAACTACATACATATTATCCCTAATACTGAAACAACTGATAATATATTCCAAGAAACATACAAGTTGACCTTGAGGTGTTCGTCTCGTTGAGTAGACATCCTGTAGTGTCACCGTGACCAAACTGGATGAAACATCCAAGAGATCTTAGCATTTAATTGAAGCCGAGAAGCAACTTAATCGCCAGTCACATAAATCCAATGAATTAGTTCTTGACTAGTACAAGTGCTTCGATGTGAAAGTAAGCCCAATTTGTTGCAGAAGCAACGAAAATTCTCCATCAAGACATAAACCAAGAGTGAGAAAACGGACCAGATCGAAACAAGGCGATGAGTGAACATGATCAAATCATATTCAATTCCATGAATGAGGCTGGAAGATCTAACCTCTGGGAGGACCAAATGTGATGGAAATCAGGGTTTTGCAAGAATTTGGTCAATATATATTTATATATATCGCATCAATCTTTACAAAATCGGCGCCAAAATAAACGTGGATTGACCACGAAATATAGAAACAGAAAACAGAGAAACAAACAAAACAAACAAACAAAATCACTCTACTTTGGGGATAAAAAACTTTGTTGCTTGTTTACCGCACGTTATCCTGACTAAGTATTTAATGGACACGTCTCTATAATTTCAACTCGGTGAGCCATATCCCATTATGTCTATAGTGCAATAACTTTCACCTGTTGGGTCTCCCTGATGGTTTATTTTCAGGTAATGATTCTGTCGAATTTTGACGATAACTGCAAAGAATTTCTATTGCACACCAAATTATGATGAACCATAGAAGGTCTGAACCCCGTGTTTGTACAAGATAACAGGAAACCGTAGCTCTTGAAGTGGAATATCACATAAAACTGCACTAGAGAAGCCACATTATGGAACCAAATACTATCTAGGTTCTAATCCAAAAGTAATGGTGTTCGGAAAATAATATTTAGGGCACTACCACTGAATACTATACATCATAGCCGCTATAGCGCTCAGACAAATACATACATAAATGCATATATATATATATATATATATATACATTCTGCCGTGCCATTTACCTCGAAAATCATATTTGCACTTCTGTTGATCTATTTGTCATCAGAATGCATCGTTATCAATTTCAAGGTCACGAAATGCTATTCTGCACGAGCACGTTCATGAAATCTTTACGTTATCCCACGAACTGCGCCTTTTTTGAAATATTTAAACAATGTAAGAAATAAGTTTAAGCAGACGATCAAAACACAAATGGCAGAAGGAGAAAACATTGAGCAGGTTAGCAAGTCGCTCACAGACAGTGCGGTACCAGTCAAATGCTAATTCCGTTCATTCTAACCAGCAATGTTCGTTCTCTGTTAGGAAAAGTCGAGGTAGTAGACATCACACCGAAAAACGAATGCAAAAACCTGGGAATTATTACACTGCAGGAATTGTGGCTGCACGAAAAGGTCCCGAGTGTAATCATACAAGTGGATGGATATAACTTGTATTGGGTTGACCGTCCCGTGAGTGTCTGTAAACGAGGCGGGGGTGTTGCAAGTTACGTTACTGGAGTAAATCAACCGCTGTCATCTACGAATACTCAACGGATAAAATCAGTTGTCCCGTTATCAAATGTAAGCCCCGGTTTTCGGGTGGGTTTCATTCCATACTTCTTGAAAACTTGTACAGGTCAGTAACAATATTAGTGGTTGACATAAATAGCTTTTCTGATATTTTTTTCTACCTCCATAATATAAAAAAAGTGGCTCTTTGTGTCTATTCGTTGGTGATTTCAACAGACAGGATGTAACATTCCTCGCCACACTGGGTCCACAAACTATTGGTACATTTTCCTACCAGACTCAATTCACAACTTGATTCCGTTTTTACAAACAGACAGCAATTTTTTAAAGTCCATCCACGTGCTCCGCTGAGCAGTTCAGACCATTGTATCTTAAAAGTATGTCCCACTGTATAGAGCAAAACCAACCGATACACATTTTTAAGAAGGCCTCATAAGATAGTGAGTCAAAGAAACTGTTCATCAGAGAACCTGGAAAGGCTAAGATCCATGATTGCCGCTACTGATTTTTCGGTGTTTCCCGATCAGAACCCTTCTGTCCTCTGTGAACATGTTACGGACTACCTTAATTTATGTTTTAACCAGTGTTGTTCACTAGAAACAGTCTTTATCCATGAAGACAGATACTCATCACCGCTACTCAAGCAGTTACGCAGGCGAAATGAACAAGCCTGTGAACCAGGACAAAGAATACATTTCAAGCGGCTAACAATTTCGATCAAAGCTAAAATAAATATATTGAACAAATTGTACATCGACGCTATCCTGGGAAATTCTAGTTGTCGTGGCATGTGATGGGCTATCAACCAATTGTGTGGCAGTAGCCGTAAACACAAAAAGGAAACTGTGGATATTGAAGACTAAATTCTGAGTTTAGTCCAGTTTCACGGTGCACTGCCCTGCCGGACTTAATCAACTCTCTGGCAACACCAACTATCGAACCCGGCAAAGTCCTGAAACAGTTACTAAAAGCTAAGTTGAATAACGCATCGGGCCCTGATGAACTCAAAGTATGTGCGGGCAACCTTTCAGCCCCATCGTCAAAAATATTCGAATATTCAAAATCACTGATATTTGAAGACTGGCCAAGATAACTCCCGTTACAAAAAAGGAACCTGGGAAATATCTTTCCATCGCCTGCACGTCAGTCATGCTCAAATTATTTGAGAGATGCTTATTACCGTGGGTTGTCACTGAGTCTGACGAAGACGACATATATCAATTTGCATATCGCGGTCAACACTGGACGCCGTCGCATATCTCGTTCAGTCAATAATCTCGGCACTAGATAAGAAAAGTAAGACCATCAGAATGATGTTCTTAGACTACAAAAACGCTTTTGGCAGTCTTGATCGATCAGTGTTGCTCAACCTGATTACTGAAAGTGGTGTAAATTCAAACGTTAGCAGACTGATCTGTGATAATTTCACAGACAGAAGGCAATTTACATGTCTCAACGGCAAAAAGTCCTCCACTTGCCCAGTTTCTTCTGGTGTTCTGCAAGGTGCAATATTTTCCCCATTTTTCTTTTCTATGTATGTCAAACAATTTTCCATTTCTCCTGCATTCATTGGCTGTAAATACGCTGATGACGTTGTTGCAGGTTGCAAAGCATCCACCCCTGAAGAGACTCGCGAAATTCAAAGCAAGCTGAATGACGTTATCACTTGGTCCTTGTCCCGTTTCCTCTCATTGAATACCCCTAAATGTCAGGATGTTGTGTTTTCCCTCTTGGCCGATGCACCATATTCAGCCCTTACAGATAGGTTCCCCACCCTCTCTGCAAATCAAAAACCCTTACCGAAATCAAAAAAGGTAAAATACCTTGGCGTCACCCTATCACACAACTTATCATGGTCACTGCACGTTCAAAACACATTCTTTAAAGTTAGAAAGCTTTCATATTTCTCACTCTGACTGAGATTACTTTCTGTTCTCACAAGCTGATTGTTAGGTTTATGAATGCATGCGTGCTACCCCACTGGTTGTATTGCTCTCCAGTAATTTTTCCCGGTATGTTGAAGAAAGACTTTTATTTGCTGGCGAGATCTCTGAAACACAACACATCTCTAAATGTAGTGGCATTGTCAGGGATAAACTGGTCGATTCATTGACAGACACCTACAATCATGTGAAAATTTCGCCACCAAAATACTCTCGGACAATCACCACTTATTACACAATGAATTTTCAAAAGCTGTATCTACATCATCCACACGCTCAAGACCTAAACTTTTATTTGCACGTAACTGTGCTTATCGCAATTCTGCTCTGTCATATGTAGCACGTCTACTTATAGACAAGGACAAAATTTCCACAGAATTGCGCAACCGCTTGCTTCATTGACAAACACATCCCATTACTTTCAGTTTCATTATGTAATGATTTTGTAAATTTGAATTAAAAATATGGTGTAAATGGTGAAAATTCACATATCCGGGTGCATAAAGCTACTACTGACTTGACTTGACTTTATTACATGCATATATATATATATATATATATATATATATAGTCAGA